TCGTTTTTTAGGCATTCTTTGGCGTGACGCTCTAACAACTGTTGAAATTTTCAAATTTAAGTTTTTTTATATGTTTCTTTATTATACCCTACGGCTTCGTGAGTAGGGTATATATAAGTTTGTCATTTCGTTTGTTATTAATATATATTATAATTATCCGACCTTATGAAGTATATATTCTAGTTCATTATGTTGATTATGTTACTTCCGTCTGTGCGTTTGTTACAATCAATTTTCTGAAGACCCCAGATATCTCGGAATACTGCACTTGTAATCTTCAATAATTACATCAGGCATGTTTTCGAAAATATCGCTAATTAAAATATAAATAATGGAGATATGAGCAAAAATCCCAGATAACCTCTTAAAATTTCATTCAAAAATTAAAACGACCATATGTATAATTTTTCTAATAATAAAGCATTTAAGCTCAATTCCGAAATATTTTAAAAATTTGTTGCAAAAACCAGTGATCTTCTGAAAGAGGGGTTATATGGGGGCTCAATTAGTCCGACTATAGTATTGCCTTTAATATAGTTTATAGTCTAGTCTATAGTCTGGACTATAGTCCTAGGATATAGTATGGACTATAGTCTAGTCTATAGTCTGGACTATAGTCTAGTCTATAGTCTGGACTATAGTCTAGTCTATAGTCTGGACTATAGACTAGTCTATAGTCTGGACTATAGTCTAGTCTATAGTCTGTACTATAGTCTAGTTTATAGTCTGGACTATAGTATAGTCTATAGTCTGGATTATAGTCTAGTCTATAGTCTGGACTATAGTCTAGTCTATAGTCTGGACTATAGTCTAGTCTATAGTCTGGACTATAGTCTAGTCAATAGTCTGGACTATAGTCTAGTCAATAGTCCAGACTATAGGCTAGACTATGGACTAGACTATAGGCTAGACTATAGACTAGACTATAATCCAGACTGTAGACTAGACTATATTCTAGACTATAGGCTAGACTATAGTCTACGCTATTGTCTGGACTATAGCCTAGTCTATAGTCTAGTCTATAGTCTAGCTTATGGTCTAGCCTATAGTCTAGTCTATAGTCTAGCCTCTAGTCTAGACTATAGTCTAGTCTATATTCTAGTCTATAGTCTATATATCTATAGTCTATAGTCTAGTCTATAGTCTAGTCTATAGTCTAGTCTATATTCTAGTCTATAGTCTAGTCTATATTCTAGTCTATAGTCCAGTCTATAGTCTAGTCTATAGTCTAGTCTATAGTCTAGTCTATAGTCTAGTCTATAGTCTAGTCTATAGTCTAGTCTATAGTCTAGTCTATAGTCTAGTCTATAGTCTAGTCTATAGTCTAGTCTATAGTCTAGTCTATAGTCTAGTCTATAGTCTAGTCTATAGTCTAGTCTATAGTCTAGTCTATAGTCTAGTCTATAGTCTAGTCTATAGTCTAGTCTATAGTCTAGTCTATAGTCTAGTCTATAGTCTAGTCTATAGTCTAGTCTATAGTCTAGTCTATAGTCTAGTCTATAGTCTAGTCTATAGTCTAGTCTATAGTCTAGTCTATAGTCTAGTCTATAGTCTAGTCTATAGTCTAGTTTAAAATCTAGTCTATAGTCTAGTCTAGTCTATGTCTAGTCTATAGTCTAGTCTATAGTCTAGTCTATAGTCTAGTCTATAGTCTAGTCTATAGTCTAGTCTATAGTCTAGTCTATAGTCTAGTCTATAGTCTAGTCTATAGTCTAGTCTATAGTCTAGTCTATAGTCTAGTCTATAGTCTAGTCTATAGTCTAGTCTATAGTCTAGTCTATAGTCTAGTCTATAGTCTAGTCTATAGTCTAGTCTATAGTCTAGTCTATAGTCTAGTCTATAGTCTAGTCTATAGTCTAGTCTATAGTCTAGTCTATAGTCTAGCCTATAGTCTAGTCTATAGTCTAGTCTATAGTCTAGTCTATAGTCTAGTCTATAGTCTAGTCTATAGTCTTGTCTATAGTCTAGTCTATAGTCTAGTCTATAGTCTAGTCTATAGTCTAGTCTATAGTCTAGTCTATAGTCTAGTCTATACTCTAGTCTATAGTCTAGTCTATAGTCTAGTCTATAGTCTAGTCTATAGTCTAGTCTAGTCTATAGTCTAGTCTAGTCTATAGTCTAGTCTAGTCTATAGTCTAGTCTAGTCTATAGTCTAGTCTAGTCTAGTCTATAGTCTAGTCTATAGTCTAGTCTATAGTCTAGTCTATAGTCTAGTCTATAGTCTAGTCTATAGTCTAGTCTATAGTCTAGTCTATAGTCTAGTCTATAGTCTATAGTCTAGTCTATAGTCTAGTCTATAGTCTAGTCTATAGTCTAGTCTATAGTCTAGTCTATAGTCTAGTCTATAGTCTAGTCTATAGTCTAGTCTATAGTCTAGTCTATAGTCTAGTCTATAGTAGTCTATAGTCTAGTCTATAGTCTAGTCTATAGTCTAGTCTATAGTCTAGTCTATAGTCTAGTCTATAGTCTAGTCTATAGTCTAGTCTATAGTCTAGTCTATAGTCTAGTCTATAAGTCTATAGTCTATAGTCTAGTCTATAGTCTAGTCTATAGTCTAGTCTATAGTCTAGTCTATAGTCTAGTCTATAGTCTAGTCTATAGTCTAGTCTATAGTCTAGTCTATAGTCTAGTCTATAGTCTAGTCTATAGTCTAGTCTATAGTCTAGTCTATAGTCTAGTCTATAGTCTAGTCTATAGTCTAGTCTATAGTCTAGTCTATAGTCTAGTCTATAGTCTAGTCTATAGTCTAGTCTATAGTCTAGTCTATAGTCTAGTCTATAGTCTAGTCTATAGTCTAGTCTATAGTCTAGTCTATAGTCTAGTCTATAGTCTAGTCTATAGTCTAGTCTATAGTCTAGTCTATAGTCTAGTCTATAGTCTAGTCTATAGTCTAGTCTATAAGTCTAGTCTATAGTCTAGTCTATAGTCTAGTCTATAGTCTAGTCTATAGTCTAGTCTATAGTCTAGTCTATAGTCTAGTCTATAGTCTAGTCTATAGTCTAGTCTATAGTCTAGTCTATAGTCTAGTCTATAGTCTAGTCTATAGTCTAGTCTATAGTCTAGTCTATAGTCTAGTCTATAGTCTAGTCTATAGTTAGTCTAAGTCTAGTCATAGTCTAGTCTATAGTCTAGTCTATCGTCTAGTCTATAGTCTTTAGTCTATAGTCTAGTCTATAGTCTGTCTATAGTCTAGTCTATAATCTAGTCTATAGTCTAGTCTATAGTCTAGTCTATAGTCTAGTCTATAGTCTAGTCTATAGTTCTAGTCTATAGTTCTAGTCTATAGTCTAGTCTATAGTCTAGTCTATAGTCTAGTCTAGTCTATAGTCTAGTCTAGTATAGTCTAGTCTAGTCTAGTTCTAGTCTAGTCTAGTCTCTAGTTCGTATAGTCTAGTCTATAGTCTAGTCTATAGTCTAGTCTATAGTCTAGTCTAAGTCTAGTCTATAGTCTAGTCTATAGTCTAGTCTATAGTCTAGTCTATTAGTTCAGTCTATAGTTCTAGTCTATAGTCTAGTCTATAGTCTAGTCTATAGTCTAGTCTAGTTCTATAGTCTAGTCTATAGTCTAGTCTATAGTCTAGTCTAGTTAGTCTAGTCTATAGTCTAGTCTAGTCTAGTCTATAGTCTAGTCTATAGTCTAGTCTATAGTCTAGTCTATAGTCTAGTCTATAGTCTAGTCTATAGTCTAGTCTATAGTCTAGTCTAGTCTGTCATAGTCTAGTCTATAGTCTAGCTATAGTCTGTCTATAGTCTAGTCTATAGTCTAGTCTATAGTCTAGTCTAGTCTAGTCTATAGTCTAGTCTATAGTCTGGTCTATAGTCTAGTCTATAGTCTAGTCTATAGTCTAGTCTATAGCCTAGTCTATAGTCTAGTCTATAGTCTAGTCTATAGTCTAGTCTATAGTCTAGTCTATAGTCTAGTCTATAGTCTAGTCTATAGTCTAGTCTATAGTCCTAGTCTATAGTCTAGTCTATAGTCTAGTCTATAGTCTAGTCTATAGTTCTAGTCTATAGTCTAGTCTATAGTCTAGTCTACAGTCTAGTGTCTATAGTCTAGTCTATAGTCTAGTGTCTATAGTCTAGTGTATATAGTCTAGTCTATAGTCTAGTCTATAGTCTAGTGTCTATAGTCTAGTCTATAGTCTAGTCTATAGTCTAGTCTATAGTCTAGTCTATAGTCTAGTCTATAGTCTAGTCTATAGTCTAGTCTATAGTCTAGTCTATAGTCTAGTCTATAGTCTAGTCTATAGTCTAGTCTATAGTCTAGTCTATAGTCTAGTCTATAGTCTAGTCTATAGTCTAGTCTATAGTATAGTCTATAGTATAGTCTATAGCCTAGTCTATAGTCCAGTCTATAGTCTAGTCCAGTCTGTAGTCTAGTCTATAGTCTAGTCTAGTCTATAGTCTAGTCTAGTCTATAGTCTAGTCTAGTCTATAGTCTAGTCTATAGTCTATTCTATAGTCTAGTCTATAGTCTACTCTATCGTCTAGTCTATAGTCTACTCTATAATATGGGACTTTTTTAATACTTTTTTGTTCTTCAAAAGGAATTTTTGAATTTTCTATAATATTGAATCTAGAAACTTAAAATTGAACATTCATAGTCCAGATTGTATGAAAATATATAAAAATGGAATTGGTACTTTTTTGTTTTTATATTGTGAAGGGTATATATGTATGTATATAAGATCCGGCACAGCCGAATATAGAACTCTTACGTGTATATTGGTCCTTTTGTTTTTAACTCTTTAAGTAACAAATGTGTGGCACGTAAATGCCAACAATAAATTTTTATTACATTTTCTTTGAGCTGAATTTAAAGTTGTTGCCTTTATTAATAATTCTAATGGGTCTTGCGAAATTAAAATAAATTTCATAATGTGTTTTAATTAAATCTTATTATGAATGTAAAGGGGCTTATTTAAATATAAAAGAACTAAACAATTTTTTTATATATTTTCTAAATATTAAATTTCTATTATATCCTGCTTTCTTTATAGATCGTTTATATTTTGTGGCATTTAAAAAGAATTTTAAACCAAAAAATACTGCAACCAGTCATTATTTTAGCATCGATGATGATTTTATCTATGAAAATTTCTACAATGATTTTGGTCCCCTAAACATTTGCATGCTGTATCGCTATTGTCAGAAATTGAATGCCAAATTAAATAATAAAACTTTGGCTAATAAAAAGATTGTACACTACACCTCCATGAATCCGGCTAAAAGAGTTAATGCCGCCTATCTAATGGGAGCATTTGCGGTGAGATCAAGTATAATAACAACATTTTAAAAATTCTAAACAAATTTTCTTTTTACCCCAGATAATTTACCTCAACAAATCACCCGAAGAGGCCTATCGCCCTTTGGTCATGGGCGAAATACCTGCTTATACACGTTTTTGTGATGCCTCCTATGGCCCTAGTGGCTATAAAATCTCCCTAATCGATTGCCTAAATGCTGTACACAAATCTTTAAAGGCGGGTTTCTTTAATTTTGAAGATTTCGATGCCGAGGAATATGAATACTATGAACGTGTTGAAAATGGTGATTTCAATTGGATTGTTCCTCAAAAGTTTATTGCCTTCTGTGGACCTCATCAAAAGTCCAAAACACTGCCAAATGGTTATCCTTGCCATTCACCGGAAACTTATTTTGAATATTTTCGCGCAAATAATGTAACGACCATCATACGTTTGAATGCCAAGGTTTATCATGCTTCCAGTTTTGAGAATGCCGGTTTTGATCATAAAGATCTATTTTTCATTGATGGTAGTACGCCTAGTGATTTGATATTGAAGAAATTCTTAACGATATGTGAGACGACAAAGGGTGCCATAGCAGTGCATTGTAAAGGTGGGTGAAGAATTCCTTAATTTTGTTTTAATCTTATTGTATTAGTCTGGAGTTTTCTATAGAAAAAGTTGCTCTAAACTAGACAACTTTATATAAAAAGGCTCTTCCAGTATACACAACTTTTCTATAGAAAACACATTCTAGCCGAAATAACTTTTCTTTAGAAGAACATGCTCTAGATTAGAAAAATTTTCTATAGAAATGATTGCTGTAGTCCAAACAACCTTTCTATAGAAAGAGTTGCTCTAGTCTAGACAACTTTTCTATAGAAAAAGTTGCTCTAGTCTAGATAACTTTTCTATAGAAAAAGTTGCTATAGTCTAGACAACTTTTCTATAAACAAATTTGCTATAGTCTAGACAACTTTTCTATAGAAAAAGTTGCTCTAGGCTAGACAACTTTTCTATAGAAAAAGTTGCTCTAGTCTAGACAACTTTTCTTAGAAAAAGTTGCTCTAGTCTAGACAACTTTTCTATAGAAAAAGTTGCTCTAGTCTAGACAACTTTTCTATAGAAAAAGTTGCTCTAGTCTAGACAACTTTTCTATAGAAAAAGTTGCTCTAGTCTAGACAACTTTTCTATAGAAAAAGTTGCTCTAGTCTAGACAACTTTTCTATAGAAAAAGTTGCTCTAGTCTAGACAACTTTTCTATAGAAAAAGTTGCTCTAGTCTAGACAACTTTTCTATAGAAAAAGTTGTTCTAGTCTAAACAACCTTTCTTGGAAAAAAGTTGCTCTAGTCTAGACAACTTTTCTATAGAAAAAGTTGCTCTAGTCTAGACAACTTTTCTATAGAAAAAGTTGCTATAGTCTAGACAACTTTTCTATAGAAAAAGTTGCTCTAGTCTAGACAACTTTTCTATAGAAAAAGTTGCTCTAGTCTAGACAACTTTTCTATAGAAAAAGTTTCTCTAGTCTAGACAACTTTTCTATAGAAAAAGTTGCTCTAGTCTAGACAACTTTTCTATAGAAAAAGTTGCTCTAGTCTAGACAACTTTTCTATAGAAAAAGTTGCTCTAGTCTAGACAACTTTTCTATAGAAAAAGTTGCTCTAGTCTAGACAACTTTTCTATAGAAAAAGTTGCTCTAGTCTAGACAACTTTTCTATAGAAAAAGTTGTTCTAGTCTAGACAACTTTTCTATAGAAAAAATTGCCTTAGTGTAGACAACTTTTCTATAGAAAATGTTGTTCTAGTCTAAACAACCTTTCTTGGAAAAAAGTTGCTCTAGTCTAGATAACTTTTCTGTAGAAAATGTTGATCTAGACTAAACAACTTTTCTATTAAAAAAGGTTGTTCTAGTCTAGTCCGGTTTGATAGAAAAAGTTGCTCTAGTCTAGTCATCCATTTCTATACAAAAAGTTTGAAATGAAATATTGTTTTTATCTCAATGGGACATATTTTCTGTTTTTAGCTGGTCTTGGACGCACTGGTAGTTTAATTGGTGCTTATATTATGAAACACTATAATTTCTCAGCTCTGGAAGCTATAGCCTGGTTGCGTTTATGTCGTCCTGGTTCGGTTATTGGTCATCAACAACAATGGATGGAAGAGTAATTAAATCACTTACGAATTAAACAAATTGACAACAATTTTATATAAATTTCTCATTATCTCCTCCTTCTCCTCCATAACTTTAGTAAACAATCCTGGCTGTGGTCTGAGGGAGAACGCATGCGTAAACGTGCTGGTACCTGTTGTCCCGTACACAAATATGGCATTTATAGTTTATTGTATAAAACTTGTTCTGCTGGTCAGTTACGTACGAATGAAAATAATACGGAAATGTTAATGACACGCGTCAAGGGTATTTCACAAAAGGTCGACACCATGCATTTGAATGAGGAAGATCAAACTGATTCGAATCAATTGGATTCTTTGGAATCCTATGAGAATGGCAATAAAACTCTAACAACTCGTACACGTTTGTTAATGACAGCGAAAGATGGTGCCATAACACCGCCTACTAGTGCTAGTGATAATGACAATGATGTTACCGAAACCGAAGAAGAATCTACAACCTCTAATACCAATAGCACATTTATAGTGTCGCGAAGACGCAAATCGCCGACAACAGTTGCCAGTACGAAGAGCAGTAATGTTACCACTACTACCACATCTCTAAGAAGTTCACCTACTCCCACGGGTGGTGGTGGAGGTGTTGCAGCAATTACCGAAATAACTTTACGTCGAACACCACCTTTAATGGGTAATGGTCATAGTTTGATAACAACTACAACGGTAACTAGCTCAAGTGTCACCACTAATACGAATGTGGCTCCGGCTCCTTTGTATTCTGAAAAGAAATTGAAAAAACCTTCAACTACTTATGAACCGGCCGCCTTACAAAGGCCTACCATAGCATCCACGGTGAAAATGACACAGGCAGCTATAGAAAAGACCAAGGCACAAACTCAGGGTGATAAACTAAATCAAATTAAGGCCATGAGAAGGCAACATAATTCCAGATCTGGTGGTAGTACAGGGTAAGTTTGAAATGCAACTTATGGTTTAAAATATTTAAATTTAAACATTATTTTACAGTGAAACTGAAAATCCTTTACGTCATACCCGAGCCCGTTCACAACCGTTCCGTAATAACAATAATTTGGTTAATATGTTGGCCACCACTACAACCACCACAACTGGCCTAAAGGCACAAGATTGTTTGGATTCAAATGCAGCGGTGACAGCTACAAATAATTTATTAAATAATAACAACAATATTAATAACAATAATAATAATAACAACAACAACAACAGTAATAACAATAATTGTAATAATATTAACAATAATAATAACAACAACAATAACAGTGTTGGTGGTCCAACTACAACAGCAACAACAACAAATCTAACCTCAACTACCACCACCATGGGTTTAACTAGTGTTAATAGTACAATAACAACACGGGCACGCAGTTTAGCTATTTATAGCAAAAGGTAAGTTTTAAATAACCCTCCCCACCCCCCTATACACACAAAATGATCCCTTTTTTTGACTTTATCCCCCTCCCAACACTTTTTAATTCCTCATTTTTTCTTAATACAAACAAATTAACAAATTTTTAATTTCTTTTATCATTTAATAACTAAATTCATTTTGCCAATTTTTTAACAAAAATCTAAGAAAATTAACTTTTAGTTTTTTTTTCAAAAGCCATTTTATTAACGTTTTATTTAATTTTTTGATAATGTTTGTTGCCGTGTTTTTTATTGCTAAATTTTATAAGAAAATGAAAAAAATGATTTTTTCCTTTTTAATTGCTACTTTTTTATTATAAATTGTTTTTTTGAATTTTATTTTGTCAATTTTATAATTAATTTGTTCATATTGCCGCCATTAGTTCTTGCATTTTATTTATATTTTCTTTCTTTTTAGTAAATATTAACATTTAGTTTTAAATTTTAATGTGGTAGTTTTGTTGGTATTTAATTTAGACCTGTTACTGGGAAAGAAAGCAACTTATACTATAGAAAAGTTGTCTGGACTAGAGCAACTTTTTCTATAGAAAAGTTGCTCTAGTCTAGACAGAAAGGTTTTATAGACTAGAGCAACTTTTTCTATAGAAAAGTTGTCTAGACTGGAGCACTTTTTTCTACAGAAAAGTTGTCTAGACTAGAGCAACTTTTTTTATAGAAAAGTTGTCTAGACTAGAGCGACTTTTTCTATAGAAAAGTTGTCTAGACTAGAGCAATTTTTTCTATAGAAAAGTTGTCTAGACTAGAGCAATTTTTTCTATAGAAAAATTGTCTAGACTAGAGCAACTTTTTCTGTAGAAAAGTTGTCTAGACTAGAGCAACTTTTTCTATAGAAAAGTTGTCTAGACTAGAGTAACTTTTTCTATAGAAATGTTGTCTAGACTAGAGTAACTTTTTCTATAGAAATGTTGTCTAGACTATAGCAACTTTTTCCACAGAAAAGTTGTCTAGACCAGAGCAGCTTTTTCCACAGAAAAGTTGTCTAGACCAGAGCAACTTTTTCTATAGAAAAGTTGTCTAGATGAGAGCAACTTTTTCTATAGAAAAGTTGTCTAGATGAGAGCAACTTTTTCTATAGAAAAGTTGTCTAGATGAGAGCAACTTTTTCTATCGAAAAGTTGTCTAGATGAGAGCAACTTTTTCTATAGAAAAGTTGTCTAGATGAGAGCAACTTTTTCTATAGAAAAGTTGTCTAGACTAGAACTACTTTTTCTATAGAAAAGTTGTCTGGACTAAAGCAACTTTTTCTATAGAAAAGTTTTCTAGACTGGAGCAACTTTTTCTATAGAAAAGTTGTCTAGACTGGAACAACTTTTTCTATAGAAAAGTTGTCTAGACTAGAGCAACTTTTTCTACAGAAAAGTTGTCTAGACTAGGGCAACTTTTTCTATAGAAAAGTTGTCTAGACTGGAGCACTTTTTTCTACAGAAAAGTTTTCTAGACTTGAGCACTTTTTTCTACAGAAAAGTCTTCTAGACTAGAGCAACTTTTTCTATAGAAAAGTTGTCTAGACTAGAGCAACTTTTTCTATAGAAAAGTTGTCTAGACTAGAGCAACTTTTTCTACAGAAAAGTTGTCTAGACTAGAGCAACTTTTTCTACAGAAAAGTTGTCTAGACGGGAACAACATTTCCTATAGAAAATTGTGTTGTGTAGAGCAACTTTTTCTACAGAAAAATTGTCTAGACTAGAGCAACTTTTTCTGTAGAAAAGTTGTCTAGACTAGAGCAACTTTTTCTATAGAAAAGTTGTCTAGAGTAGAGCAATTTTTTCTATAGAAAAGTTGTCTAGACCAGAGCAACTTTCTCTATAGAAAAGTTGTCTAAAATAGAGAAACTTTTTCTATAGAAAAGTTGTTTAGACTAGAGCAACTTTTTCTATAGAAAAGTTGTCTGGACTAAAGCAACTTTTTCTATAGAAAAGTTTTCTAGACTGGAGCAACTTTTTCTATAGAAAAGTTTTCTAGACTAGAGCAACTTTTTCTAAAGAAAAGTTGTCTAGACTAGAGCAACTTTTTCTATAGAAAAGTTGTCTAGACTGGAACAACATTTCCTATAGAAAAATTGTGTAGTGTAGAGCAACTTCTCTATGGAAAAGTTGTCTAGTCTAGAGCAACTTTTTCTACGGAAAAGTTGTCTAGTCTAGGACAACTTTTTGTATACAAAAGTTGTCTAGTTTAGAGCAACTTTTTCTATGGAAAAGTTGTCTAGTTTAGAGCAACTTTTTCTATGGAAAAGTTGTCTAGTTTAGAGCAACTTTTTCTATGGAAAAATTGTCTAGTCTAGAGCCACTTTTTCCATAGAAAAGTTGTCTAGCCTAAACCTACTTTTTTACAGAAAAGTTTTCTAGTCTAAAGTAACTTTTTCTATAGAAAATTTGTCTGGACTAAATGAACTTTTTCTATAGAAAAGTTGTCTAGTTCGAAATAACATTTTCTATAGAATATTTTTCTTTTATTTCTAACATATTTCCCAATTTCAGAGTAATTTTGTAGTAAAATACCATTTAATTAAAAAACTAATAAACAAATATATTTTAGGTTCATTAATTTAAATTTATTTTTACTAATTTTAGTTAATGCTTGGAATAATTAAATACTTAACACTCTTAATATTGTTTTTGTAATATGTTTTTAGTTTGTTTAATTAAAATTTTGTAAAAATTTAAATTTCTTTATTTCTAACAAACAAACAACTTTAAAACAAAACCAAGCTTTAAACGAAGTCTAATGCAATACTTTAATCGTCATCGTTGATGGTTGAATAAAAATTTCCCCCTTTTCCTACTCCAAAATAAAATTTATAACAAAATTAAAGTATATTTTAAACAAAATACTTAAATAAATTATTTTAAAACATAAGCTATAGTTAATATTTATTAATATATTAAAAAAGTTTATTATTCTTATTATTATCACACCAAAATTTTTATTTTCTAATAAAAAAAAAGAAATTTTCGTTTTATTTTCAAAATTGTATATTGTAGTAGAGACAAAAATAATAAATCTATCCCAATTGTAATGTATTTTTTTCGATTTGTTGTAATTATATATTATTAGAACTAAACACACTACTAAGTACTACTTACTTTGATATATACATACATACATATATATTTTTTATATACATACCACCTTTTATTTAAAATTTATTTATGTTTTTAAAATTTTATCAAGAAAAATAAAAGACATCTTTCTATATATTTTTTGAATTTCTGTAGATATTTAAATTTTGTTGTATAATTTATTATTAAATCTTTATTAACTTATTTGTACTAAATATTTTAATAGTTCTTTTGTTTTATGCATGATAATGATTCAATAAATATTTACAAATTTTTGAAATTTTCCCCCCCAAAAAACCAAATTTTGTTTGTATTTTTTTATTTAATAAATTTCTTTGTGTTATTTTATTTTCTTTTTCCTTCTCCCAACTTTTGGCTTTTCCTCCTTTGTTGTAATATTTTGTTGTTGTATTTATTGTTTGTTTTTTCTTTTGTGGCTTTTGGGTGTTTTCTTATAAAATTTTTTAGCTTTAATGGTTCCCTACTTTTCTAACCTTTAACATCAATTTTGCTGTAGTTTTGATGTTACTTTGCTAAATATAATTATGTTGTAAACATATTAAAATTTTGGAAAAACTATTTTTATGTAAATTCAATCACAATTATCTCCTGTGAAAAAAAATTGTCGTAATACTTTCAAGCGATCTTTTGGAATTTTGCTCATATCTCTGTTATTTATAAACTTATATTGCTGATTTTAAATAGGAAACTTCTCGAAAGTATGTCTGATAGAAATACTGATGTTTCGGATCTCGAAGATAAACTGACGGCCGGACACGATTAAAGAAACTTTTGTATTTATTCTCTTCTGCCATGAAGGTGAAGGGTATTAAAATGTATTTCTTGTGGGGGATTTTTTGGGACAAATAGTTCGTTACTATTCCCCGAAAACGTCCGTTACTGTAGAAATTTCGATCTACATCAAATCCGTAAGTCTAGTCTATAGAATATAGACTAGACTAGTCTATAGTCTAGTCTATAGTCTAGTCTATAGTCTAGTCTATAGTCTAGTCTATAACAAACTTATGTATTTATAACAAACTTATGTATTTATAACAAACTTATGTATTTATTCTCTTCTGCCATGAAGGTGAAGGGTATTAAAATGTATTTCTTGTGGGGGATTTTTTGGGACAAATAGTTCGTTACTATTCCCCGAAAACGTCCGTTACTGTAGAAATTTCGATCTACATCAAATCCGTAAGTCTAGTCTATAGAATATAGACTAGACTAGTCTATAGTCTAGTCTATAGTCTAGTCTATAGTCTAGTCTATAGTCTAGTCTATAACAAACTTATGTATTTATAACAAACTTATGTATTTATTCTCTTCTGCCATGAAGGTGAAGGGTATTAAAATGTATTTCTTGTGGGGGATTTTTTGGGACAAATAGTTCGTTACTATTCCCCGAAAACGTCCGTTACTGTAGAAATTTCGATCTACATCAAATCCGTAAGTCTAGTCTATAGAATATAGACTAGACTAGTCTATAGTCTAGTCTATAGTCTAGTCTATAGTCTAGTCTAAAGTCTAGTCTATAGTCTAGTCTATAGTCTAGTCTATAGTCTAGTCTATAGTCTAGTCTATAGTCTAGTCTATAGTCTAGTCTATAGTCTAATCTATAGTCTAGTCTATAGTCTAGTCTATAGTCTAGTATATAGTCTAGTCTATAGTCTAGTCTATAGTCTAGTCTATAGTCTAGACTATAGTCTAGTCTATAGTCTAGTCTATAGTCTAGTCTATAGTCTAGTCTATAGTCTAGTCTATAGTCTAGTCTATAGTCTAGTCTATAGTCTAGTCTATAGTCTAGTCTATAGTCTAGTCTATAGTCTAGTCTATTCTATAGTCTAGTCTATAGTCTAGTCTATAGTCTATTCTGTAGTCTAGTCTATAGTCAAGTCCATTGTCTAGTCTATAGTCTAGTCTATAGTCTAGTCTATAGTCTAGCTTATAGTCTAGTCTATAGTCTAGTCTATAGTCTAGTCTATAGTCTAGTCTATAGTCTAGTCTAGCTTATAGTCTAGTCTATAGTCTAGTCTATAGTCTAGTCTATAGTCTAGTCTATAGTCTAGGCTATAGTCTAGTCTATAGTCTAGTCTATAGTCTAGTCTATAGTCTAGTCTATAGTCTAGTCTATAGTCTAGTCTATAGTCTAGTCTATAGTCTAGTCTATAGTCTAGTCTATAGTCTAGTCTAGTCTATAGTCTAGTCTATAGTCTAGTTTATAGTCTAGTCTATAGTCTACTCTATAGTCTAGTCTATAGTCTAGTCTATAGTCTAGTCTATAGTCACGTCTATAGTCTAGTATATAGTCTAGTCTATAGTCTAGTCTATAGTCTAGTCTATAGTCTAGTCTATAGTCTAGCCTATAGTCTAGTTTATAGTCTAGGTTATAGTCTAGGTTATAGTCTAGTCTATTGTGTAGTCTATAGTCTAGTCTATAGTCAAGTTTATAGTTTAGTCTATAGTGTGGTCTATACTCTAGATTATAGCCTTGTCTAAAGCCTAGTGTATAGTCTAGTGTATAGTCTAGTCTATAGTCTAGTTTATAAGTCTAGTCTATAGTCTAGTCTATAGTCTAGTCGGTAGTCTAGTCTATAGTCTAGTCTATAGTCTAGTCTATAGTCTAGTCTATAGTATAGTCTATAGTCTAGTCTACAGTCTAGTCTATAGTCTAGTCTATAGTCAAGTCTATAGTGTAGTCTATAGTCTAGTATATAGTCTAGTCTGTAGTTTAGTCCGAAGTTTAGTCTAAATTAGTTTAGTACTTTCAAACCTAAAAAGTACTATTTTGGTTATAAGTTAGTACTATTTCAAAATTTAAATTGTCCATTACATGTTACAGACTCAGAGAGATCTTCAAGAAGATCAAGAAAGAAAGTCGACTGTCTTGAATCGCTTTACTCTTCGAAAAAATCTACTGACTTACGCAGATCTATGCAGATCTAAATATTGTTTGGTATCTAAAGTACAGCAGTTTTTAAGGTTTTACTAATCCACTGTGTTGTTTTTAATAACCAACTGCTTTCTCCGATCTTAAAATATATAACAAACTTTTTGAGTGCATTTTTATTTGATTCCTTATTTCTTAATTGCCTTTGCTCTGCATGTCTTCTTATTATTTCAACATTCGAAACATAGTTTTTTTCTCCCTATAACACCTGTAATCTACCAAATCTATACATTATACTATATAAACACCAATATAATATTTGATTTACTATAATATATCTTTCCAATATTTATTTTTTCTCTTTCTTCTCTCTCTCTCTAAATTGCGGTGACTTTCGGGGATTTTATATATATCTTGTATAATAAATAAAACAATAAAACAACAACACAATTACCCTAAATCAATATAAATATTATACAACAACAACATACAATAAAAAAACTACTAACAATTGTATATAAACTAATATCTAAAGAATGGGACTAATGCATTTACGTAAAGCTGAACAACAGCAACAACAGATTTCAAATAATGTCACTGCCGCCAATAATAATAATAATAACAACAACAACCACAATGCCAATACTGTAAGTTCCACAACAGCGACAACAACATCATCAACTTTGCTACCACATCAACATGATGTAACTACTCCCACACTCAGTAGTTTAAATAAACAAACGAAAACCTACAACAACACTTTAATAAGTTCCACAACCAATGAAAGTAAAATACCCATAGTGAGAGCAACTGCAGCTTTAATTGATTTGAATGTGGCCATTAATCATGGTGGTGGTGTAGTGGGTTCATCAGCCACTATACCGCCTTCTAGAAGTTCCAATAGACTATCGGCAGCAGCCGCTATAACAGCACCCTCACATCATCACATGACTTTGAGAGGAAGATCACGTTTAAGATATCATCGTCATCAAGATGGTGGTGGTGGAGCTGGAGGTGGTCTGCAACAAGCACCACCTTGTACTATGACTACTGCACGTTATTATCGAGATGTTTCTGCCTTGCCCTCATCCATACAGTTGGGCGGTGGTGTCAGTGGTGGTGGCGGTGGCATTACAACACGTTCATCTTCAGCTACACTGGATTTAAATTCGAATCCTTTACCCTCTACTGGCAATCTCTTGGGCAATATGAACAAAACTAATAATCACAATAGCAGCAACAACAATAGCAATAGTAGTAGTACAACAACAACCACAACATGTAGCAATAGTAGTAATAAATTGGAAGAACGTATACTGCGTACCAATACAACAAAATCCTCTTGTACCTCTGCCAATCATTCAAATTCCTCTTCTGACGCTGAAACCCTTAAATCCACACATTCAAACAGTAATTTATCCTTAGAAAATAATAACAATAATAATAATAATAATAATAATAATAATATCTCTAATATAATACAACAAACACAATTAAACATAAATTTCTTATCATCTTCTTCTCCCCCCATTGCCGCCGACAACAATTCATTCCCGCACCATGACCAACAACAACAACAATCACATCACAATCTCACCACCACAACCACTATGCCAAACCTATTATCCTCCTATAACCATTCCCTATCCCTGGCAACCACACCCACACCCTGTTCCTCTTCCGCCTCCTCTACTCCTCAAAATTTAGATACAAATCGTCTTAGTCGTACATCACAGCGTTCCTTGCCATCAACGACGGGTATACCCTGTAGTAGCCAATATGGCAGCGGAGTTTCTGGTGGAGGCTTTAGTAATATTAAACGCAATAAAAGATCCTTAAGTAGTACACGCATTGAAAAGGATAAATGTGATGAGTACAACACTAAATTGCTGAGAAAGACTAACAATCAAGTTTCTGCCGCCTCCAACAACAACAACAATTCTGCTACTGGTGCCACCTCAACAGTTGTTGGTGGTGGTGGTGGTGGTAGTTTTCGCACCAGACATCGCCAGGCTGCTATCACAAATTTGGAATCTTCAACTGCTTCGTCTACTTCTTCGACCTCTACCTCCGGTATACCTACACCTACTACCAGTCAGGGTCTTTATATGCCGCGTAGTGCTAAATATGCTGCTGGAGTTATGGCTGCCGAACAACGTGAACATCAGCAGCAGCAACGTTTGTCTTTAAAGTTGCGCAAGAAAATAAGTTACTAGAATTTGGAGTCATTACCTACGACTAGTAGGTATAGCAAAAGGTCCAAAAGATAAATATTAAGATTCAAGTTTGAGAGTTAGAGAACAAAATGTATAACAGCTGTTGGTTAAAGCTATAGAAGTAAAGAAAGGGAGAGTGTTAAATTTAAGGTTAGTATTGTAAATATTCAAAATAAAGCTAAGAGCCAGGTTAATGGTGAAATTAGCAAAGACCTTTAAAGGAAATTTGTACATTAGTGATGTTCCCACCAAGCATTCGATTTCATTGATGGAATTTGTCCTAAAGAAAAGGGGAAATAATTCGTAAACCTGAGTATCAGAAATAAAGTCAAATTCTGATTCAGAAAAATAACTAAAGTCGGCTTGTGTTATTCGAGTTAAGATGATGAATCTTAACTGAATATCGGATTTGGTGATTGGATACGTTATATATTAGGTGTAAAGAAGAGTGCAATACATTTTTAAAAAGTAAAAAGAGCCTATTCAATATTGCGGAGAGTAAAAATTCCAATATTTTATATAATGCTGACCTTAGGTCTTAGGGCGGGTTTCTTACTACTCAGTTAAACTAGGCTTAACTTGCTGTTAGATTAAACTCGGAACAAATTTAGACGGACTTTAACCGATGATTGTGTTTTTCAGTTATGGATTTAAGTTTAGTTAACTTTGTTAGTATTGCCAACTTTTCACTCAAAAACATAAACAATGAACATCTGTTTTTTGCAAATAATACTTTTGTAAAATGAAAAATTTTGGAAAAATGTTAAATAAACATTTAAAACAATAATAAATAAAACAAAACAAATTGGAAAATTGCAATTTACTTAAAATATTAAGTTTTTGTTCTTCCGAAATCATTGTTTTATTGTTTTTATTAATTGTGTCTTCTCACTTATAACTTAAGTTTAATTGGCCAATAACACTCAGTTAAACTAAGATAATAAGTAACGTTACTGTTTACTGAAAAACACAAAACATATATTAAACTAGGTTTAAACAAAGAATGTAGATTATCTTTATCTGAAAAACCGGCCCTAAAAGTGCAATATTACTTTTATAATTCAACTGCCTTAAATAAGTATTTCTTTATAAAAAATTTAGTCAAAAATTGTATTATTCTAATCCATCAATATTTTTGTTTTAAACATATTTTTTTTTATTTATTTATTAATTATATTTCTTCTCTGAAATCACTATAACTCTTTCGTATTTTTGAGTTATAAGCTGATATCTCGAACGTTTTTGCATGACTCTTATTACTAAACGAAAAAAAATTGTTTATAATACTTTTAAGCTTAACTTAAAAGGATTTAAATAAACATTAAAAAAATATAACATTATTTTTTTTAATTTAGAAATATTTTTGACTAAATTTTTCCTAAAATTTTATAAAATTTCTTTTTGTGAAATTCCGTCTTAAAATTTACAAGTTTACCTTTAGAATTTAGACATTTCTGTCTTGTCTTATAGTAAATATACAATACTTTGTCTGTTTGTATCTTAAAGAGACAAGTTTTCTATAACAAAATTAACTCTTTGAGGAAACAATTTTGCATAGAAACTTAGACTCGTAAGAGATACATTTACTATAAAAAATATGGATTGTAAAGACAGCCGTTATCTAGGGAATATTACACTGAATTCTACAGCAAATCTGTTTCGAAAAGCAACAAATTTCTTAGAGAAAATCTGCCTTTTAAAGAGTTAAATCTTCTAGAGAAACTCATACTCTTAAAGAACCATTTTTTTAGGGAAAATTAATCTCTTAATATAAATTTCTCTCTTAAGATACATTTCCCTTAAAGAGATAAAGCAAATCAAATCTCGAAAAGAGGATATTTTTCTACCGCAAATCAGCCTCGAAAAGAGTAAAAAATTCCTTGAGAAAATCAGTCTGTTAAGGGCCCAACATTTTTGAGTAAATCTGTCTCAGTTTTTCTTGGGAAATTTTCTAACCGAAAAAGACAAATTTTCTAAAGAATATCAGTTTAATAAAAAGACAACTTTTCTATAGAAAATCTTTCTCTTAAAGATAGAAATATTCCAAACAAAATCTCTTTCTTTAATAGAAAATTTTTCTAGAGAAAATTAGTCTCTTAAAGTGACATATTTTCCAGAGAATTTCAAACTCTTAAAGTGAACAAATTCTTGCAGAGATCACACTCTTATAGAAACAAAATGTCTTTCAAAAAAAAGAGCAATTTTCCATAGAAAATGAGTCTTCTAAAGAGAGCAATTTTCCATAGAAAATGAGTCTCCTAAATAGAGCAATTTTCTTTAGAAATTGAGACTATTAAAGAGAGTAATTCTCTATAGAAAATTAGTCTCCTAAAGAATGAAATTTTCTATAGAGAATGAGTCTCTTAACAAGAAAAGTTTTCTATAGAAAATAAGTTTCCTTAACAAACTAATATTCTATAGAAAATAAATTTCTTTAAGAGAATAGTTTTCTAGAGAAAATAACACTCAATTTTCCATAAAAATTGTCTATCTTAAACAGAAAGTTTTCTATAGAAAATGTCTTCTTTGAAGAAAGCAATATTCTATGGAAAATGAGAATCTTAAAGAGAGCAGTTTTCTAGAGAAAATCAGGCTCATAAAGAGATATATTTTATATAAAAATAACTTTCTTATATACAAGCAATTTTCTGTAGAAAATATTTTCATTAAAGAGAGCAATATTCCATGGAAAAGGTACCACCAAAAAGGAGCAATTTTCTATAGAGAATTAGCCTCTTAAACATTCATTAAAAAAAGCAATTTTCTATGGCAAATGATTCTCTTAAGCAGAACAAATTTCTATACAAAATGAGACTTTAAGACTAATCAATTTTCTATAGAAAATGTTTTTCTTAAAGAGAACAATTTGCTATAGAAAATGTTTTTCTTAAATAGAACAATTTGCTTAAGAAAAATCGTCTCTTAAGGGGAGTAATGAAATTTTCTATAGAAAATAAATTTCCTAAACAAACCAATATTCTATAGAAAATAACTTTCTTTAAGAGAATAGTTTTCTAGAGAAAATAACTCTCAATTTTCCATAAAAATTGTGTCTCTTAAACTGGAAGTTTTCTATAGAAAATGTCTTTGAAGAGATCAATATTCTATGGAAAATGAGACTCTTAAAGAGAGCAGTTTTCTAGAGAAAATCAGGCTCATAAAAAGAGAAATATTTTATATAAAAATATATTTCTTATTTACAAACAATTTTCTGTAGAAAATGTCTTCTTTGAAGAGAGCAATATTCCATGGGAAAGGTACCTTTTAAAAGGAGCAATTTTCTATAGAGAATTAGCCTCTTAAATAGACCGTTTTCTACAGAAAATGTCTTCATTAAAGAAAGCACTATTCTATGGCAAATGAGTCTCTTTAGCAGAACAAAATTCTATACAAAATGAGACTCTAAGACTAATCAATTTTCTATGGAAACTATTTTTCTTAAAGGGAACAAATTTCCATAGAAAATGTTTTTCATAAAGGGAACAATTTTCTACAGAAAAAGCTTCTCTTAAAGGGAGTAAATTTTCTAAACAAATGTGCCTTTAAAAAAAAGCAACTTTCTATAGAAAATATATTTCTTAATGAGAACATTCTACTATAGAAAAACTCATCTTAAAGGGAGCGATTTTCTATACAAATTAAGCAACCTTCTATAGAAAATATGTCTCTTAAAGAGAGAAAATTTCTATAGAAAATCTTTAACTAAGTGTTCTATACAAAATGTGTTTGTTAAAGAGAGCATTTTTCTTAAATCTTTCTTCCTGAATAAGGCCTCTTCTCGATAAAATCTTTACACTAGTTCTCCCTTTTATCATACATTTAAACTCTATCTCTCACACAACTTTGGAATCGTCATTGTACAGGAACTCAGATATATTCAATATTCCTTCCAAATTTGTTGTATTTAAGCCTTAAACTTTTAATTTAATTAAAAAAAAAAAATTCTAAATAAAAATTATTAAGTGCAAATATTTGTAAAAAAAAACTACAATATTTTTATTAAAAAATATATATAATAATAATAAAAATTTTCTATTAGAACAAATATTTAACTATTAAACTATAAAATAACATAAGAAATACATAAAACAAACAACTTGTTATATATAATCCAAAACATAATGCAAAAGAATATATAATTATGTACCTTAAGTAAAAAAAAAGAAAATTAATTATAAATTAATTTATTTTTTTTATTTTAAAAAATTGTGTGCATTATTAATTCATATTATTATTTAAATAAAACAAATGTAAACATTTTGTTATTGTTGGCTTTAAACAAAAAAATATTTTCTTAGCTGTAAATTTTGTAATAAAAATTTCTTTAATTATTTTATATATTTTAATAAAACAATACTTTGATCATCATTGTAATATGCCTTAAATTTTGTACAAATTATTAATACACAGAATTAAATGAGAAAATATTATTAAACATCTTTTTTTGTTTGTTAAAAATTTTCTTTTTTTTTATATATAAAATATTTTTAATTTAAATAAAATCTATTTATTAGCCATAAATTAGTGTAAAATAAAATTAAGAACTAATTATGAAATGTATTCAATGCAAAATATTAATGAAATCATATTAAAAGAATTATTTTCTAACGCTTTAAATATTATCTCTTTAATAAAATATTTTTCTATTAGGTTGTAAATTATTATTATTATTATTATTAATATTATTACAAAATATTTATATTTAATTGCAAATTTATTGTTTATTGTATATAACTATATAATATTATGATTAAATATGTATTCTATTGACTTGTTATACATTAGTTAACTATAAGTTAAATTTAATACAAAAATTATCATCGCTAAAAAACGTTATACATATTAAACTAATGATCAAAATTATTAAATTAAGTGAAACGAGTCAAGTCATGTGTAATATTTACTTAAAGTCAAAACCTTTAATCATTTGAATTTTCATATTATCTATTATAAATATAATAAAATAAAAACAAATGTTGAATTAATAATAAATCATATATACTAATACAACAACAAAGAAAACTATGTACTAATTGAAAAATGTTTTACTAAAATTCTTTCAAAATATTTCGAATTAATCTATTGTTTAGTCTATATTCTAGTCCATAAAGTAGCCTTATAGTCTAGTTTATAATCTTGTATACAGTCTATTCCATAGTGTATTATATAGTTTAGTCTATAATCTAGTATATTGTATAGTCTATAGTTTAGTCTATAACCTAGTCTATATTCTAGTTTATAATCTAGTCTCTAGTCTAGTCTACAGTTTAGTCAATCGTCTAATCTATAGTCTAGTTTATAGTGTAACGTACAGTCTGGTCTAATCTATAGTCTAGTGTATATTCTGGTCTATAGTCTAATCTATAGTCTTGTCTATATTCTCGTCTATAGTCTATTCTATAGTCTAGGCTTTAGTGTAGTCTAAAGTCTAGTCCATAGTGTATTCTATATCCTAGTCTATAGCCTAGTCTATAGTGTAGTATATAGTTTAGTCTATAGTCTAGTCTATAGTGTGGTCATTAGTTTAATCTATAGTCTAGTCTATAGTTTAGTCTATAACCTAGAGTATATATATATAGTCTAATTCAGTCTAGTATATAGGCTAGTTCATAGTCTAGTCTATAAGCTAGTCTATAGTCTAGTCTACAGTCTAGTATAAAGTCTAGTCTATGGTATAATCTAAAGTCTAGTTTAGCCTGTAGTCTATTTTATAGTCAAGTCTATAGTCTAGTCTATAGCCTAGTCTACAGTGTATTCTACAGTTTAGTCTATAGTCAAGCCTATTGTGTATTCTTTAGTTTAGTCTATAGTGTAGTCTATAGTTTAGTCTATAGTGTAGTCTATAGTTTAGTCTATAACCTAGAGTATATATATATATATATATATATATATATATATATATATATATATATATATATATATATATAGTCTATATTCAGTCTAGTATATAGGCTAGTTCATAGTCTAGTCTATAGACTAGTCTATAGTCTAGTCTATAAGCTAGTCCATAGTCTAGTATGAAGTCTAGTCTATGGTATAGTCTAAAGTCTAGTATATGGTCTAGTCTATAGTTTAGTCTATAACCTAGGGTATAGTCTAGTTCATACTCTAGTCTAGTCTATAGGTTAGCTCATAGTCTATAGGTTAGTCTATATGATTGTCTATAGTCTAGTCTATAGGCTAGTCTATAGTCTAGTTTATAGGCTAGTCTATGGTCTAGTTTATAGGCTAGTCTATGGTCTAGTCTAGTATAGTATGGTCTAGTCTGGTATAAAGTCTAGTTTATGGTAAAGTCTAGGATATGATCTAGTCTATAGTGTAGTCTATAGTCTAGTCTATTGTCTATTCTACAATCTAGTCTATAGCTTAGCCTATAGTGTAGTATAAAGTCTAGTCTAATCTATTGTCTATTCTATAGTCTTTTCTATAGCTTAGTCTATAGTGTAGTATAAAGTCTAGTCCATAGTGTAGTCTATTGTTTAGCCTAGTCTATAGCTTAGCCTATAGTCTAGTTTATAATCTAATCTAAAATCTAGTCCATAGTGTAGTCTATTGTTTAGTCTATAACCTAGTCTAAAGTATATTCCATAGTGTAGTCTATGTCCTAGTTTATATCCTACACTATAGTGTAGTATATAGTTTAGTCTATAGGCTAGTCTATATTGTAGTCTATATCCTAGTTTATACTATAGTCTATAGTTTAGTCTGTAGTCTAGCCTAGTCTAGTGTATTCTGTAGTTTAGTCTGTAGTCAAGACTATTGTGTAGTCTTTAGTTTAGTCTATAGTTTAGTCTATAACCTAGGCTATAGTCTAGTTTATTCTCTAGTCTAGTCCGGTCTATTCCACTCTAGTCTATAGTTTAGTCAATCGTCTAATCTATAGGCTAGTGCATAGTCTAGTCTATATTCTAGTTTATAGTCTAGTCTAGTCTATATTCTAGTTTATAGTCTAGTCTATAGTCTAGTCTATATTCTAGTCTATTGTCTAGTATATATTCTAGTCTATTGTCTAGTATATATTCTAGTCTAGTCTATAGTCTAGTCTATAGCCTAATCTACAGTCTAATCTTAAGTCGAATCTATAGTCTTGTCTAGTCTATATTCTAGTTTATAGTCTAGTCTATATTCTAGTTTATAGTCTAGTCTATATTCTAGTTTATAGTCTAGTCTATATTCTAGTCTATTGTCTAGTTTATATTCTAGTCTATTGTCTAGTTTATATTCTAGTCTATTGTCTAGAATATATTCTAGTCCAGTCTATAGTCTGGTCTAGTCCATGGTCTAGTTTGTAGTTTAGTCTATAGCCTACTCTAGTCCATAGGCTTTTCTGTCTAGTCTAGTTATAATCTAGTTTAATCTATATTTTAGCTTATAGTCTAGTCTATAATCTAACCTTTCATTTCATTTATTTTTCATCGTTATTGAACGACTGAATCTCTCCATTATCATTGAAGATTTCATGATCAGAAAACTTACATTAGAACTTTTATATAGGAAATCAAAATAAAACCCATTTTACTTTATTTTATTCATCAATTTTTTTTACAAAATTTATTAAAAAAGTCATTTTTATTTTGAAAAAAAATATCAATGTTTATCTACCTACTTAAGCTAAAAACAATGGTTCCATTTAAGGCAATTCCTTTCTTTTTGAATAAAACATCAATAAGTTAAAGAAAAGTTTTAAGAATAAAAGACATAATCAAAAACAATCATAATGAAACAAAAAGAGACGTTACAACTATAAACTATAAATTAAATTAAAACAAAGCAAATAAATTTAAAATAGAGAAACGAGAAAATACATTTTAAGGCACACAATTGGTGGCAATTGCTATGGGCCAGGTAACGGGTCCCTTGAGTACAACATCCTCCATAATTTGTTTAATTTTAATAAAGCGACGCTTAAACTCTAGACCACAACCTTTCGATAAGCGGAAATCGAGTAAGATTTTACCATCCATTTCGATAATGTGTGCCTTGAATACTAAACGTAATTTGCGTCTATCTATGGTCGAGATAGTGACCACCAGATTATCTTCACTAATTTTACAGGTATAGCCGAGACGTTCGATGGTAGTGACCAGACGTTTAATGGTATCCTCCTGGCGTAGTGTCACAAAGAAACGTGTCATACGCCGTACCAAACGTTGGAATACATTTTGCGAAGCAGATTGTGTTTGATTCATTTGTGTGCACAGCAGTAGATCATCCAACATGGCGGGTTGGGAGAAACAGAAACCAAGACGATGTTCTTGGGCAGCTGGATGTATATTGGCCTCTTGTTGTTTGGCGGGAGCTTCGAAATCATGTTTAACTATCGGCATAGGTTGTGAGCAATAATTACGTGATATGGAATCATCCATATTATGACTACTGTGATGACTAGACATTTGTCTTTGACGTTTGGCTTTGGGTGAGCGTATCTCTAAGGCAGCAGCAGAATCAACCAAATCACGTGAACGATCTAAGAAAGAAATAGGGGGTACAATATAGTATGTAACAAAATTTGTTAATAAAAACAGAAATAAAATGTAAAACAATGTTTTAAATGAAAAAAACAAACAAACATAAGATGAACATAAAAGCAAAAACCATTTGGTTTTTGGTAATAAAGCTCTATGGAATTTTATGTATATTTAACCATACAGCTAAAATCACCAAAGAACAAATAATATGCAAAAATTATAAAAGTTTTTAAATTACAAAAAAAATTATACATAAATGAAAATAATTAAATGAATATGAACTTAACAGAGAAAATTATTAATATAAAGCACTTTTTAGGAATCAGTTTTTTCTATTAAAAACTTGTTTAAACTTTTGCTGTGGAAACGCATTTTCAATGCTTTGGTAATCTAGCTTTATGAAGGTATCAAAGCTATCATACAGCTAAAGCGCCAAAGCTATGATAACATGCGCAATTTTATAAAAACACTAAGTAAAATGCATTTAGTTATGTTGTGTGCAGAGCCAAAATCATTACTGGGTTGAAGACGTATAAAGTTCAGAAAGTTCCACCTTAATTCAGTTAAGAACTTGGAAACAAAATCAATTTAGGTCAATTTTTTTTTAAACTTAGTTGCGAGTAGAAATCTTTAGGTCAGGTACAAAGTGAAACTCAAATATCTATAACCATTGAGAGTCACTAAGTACCTGTACAAAAAATTTCGAACACTTTTAACACTAAACACATGTTTAACACATAATTAGGCTTAAAATTACGATAGAGGTATGATATAGATTCTAAATACTAATACGTAATTATACCGCGACATTTTCTTTACTTTTTCTAACATATAAAATTTTGATAAGTAGTCCACATAGCAGTCAATAGACAAGTAATGATCTTGTCTATAGTCCAGTCTATATTTTAGTCTAATGTATATGTACTCTAATTAGTAGTCTAATCTATAGTCAATTCTATAGCCTTGTCTAGAGTGTAAGCTTTAGTAGGGTCTAGAGTCTAGTCTACAAACTTGTCTAGTCATTATTCAAGTCTTTTTTCAAGCCTATAGTCTAGTCTCTAGTCTAGTCTATAGTCTAGTCTATAGTCTAGTCTATAGTCTAGTCTATAGTCTAGTCTATAGTCTAGTCTATAGTCTAGTCTACAGTCTAGCCCAAAGTCTATAGTCAAGTCTATAGTCTAGTCTATAGTCTAGTCTAGTCTATAGTCTAGTCTATAGTCTAGTCTATAGTCTAGTCTATAGTCTAGTCTATAGTCTAGTCTATAGTCTAGTCTACAGTCTAGCCCAAAGTCTATAGTCTAGTCTATAGTCTAGTCTATAGTCTAGTCTAGTCTATAGTCTAGTCTATAGTCTAGTCTATAGTCTAGTCTACAGTCTAGCTCAAAGTCTATAGTCAAGTCTATAGTCAAGTCTATAGTCTAGTCTATAGTCTAGTCTATAGTCTAGTCTATAGTCTAGTCTATAGTCTAGTCTATAGTCTAGTCTATAGTCTAGTCTATAGTCTAGTCTATAGTCTAGTCTATAGTCTAGTCTATAGTCTAGTCTATAGTCTAGTCTATAGTCTAGTCTATAGTCTAGTCTATAGTCTAGTCTATAGTCTAGTCTATAGTCTAGTCTATAGTCTAGTCTATAGTCTAGTCTATAGTCTAGTCTATAGTCTAGTCTATAGTCTAGTCTATAGTCTAGTCTATAGTCTAGTCTATAGTCTAGTATATAGTCTAGTCTATAGTCTAGTCTATAGTCTAGTCTATATTCTAGTCTATAGTCTAGTCCATAGTCTAGTCTATAGCCTAGTCCATAGTCTAGTCTATAGTCTAGTCTATAGTCTAGTCTATAGTCTAGTCTATAGTCTAGTCTATAGTCTAGTCTATAGTGTAGTCTATAGTCTAGTTCATAGTCTAGTCTATAGCCTAGTCCATAGTCTAGTCTATAGTCTAGTCTATAGTCTAGTCCATAATCTAGTCTATAGTCTAGTCCATAATCTAGTCTATAGCCTAGTCCATAGTCTAGTCTATAGTCTAGT